TCAATTATTTTAATTCAGTCTCCGAGCCCGGTGGGAGTCTGACGCTTTCCTATCGCCCTTGGCCCCATCTAACTTTGCAGGTGAAATGCCAACTCGAATTTATTATCGCCCTCAATTCTTTCCCAGCTTGGCGTGCTTTTCATTCATGGACTGGAGATGTTTAGGGTATACAGGCAAATATCTCTAAGGCTGAGGATCACAGTCAAATGCCAGGACTAATGCCTATTGAATAATTGAGGTGGGAGGGGGGACAGGACAATGGAAGAAAATCAGTAGTTGCAAAGTTCCTTCATAGGAGGGTTTAAGCCTTCATTTCCCCCCTTTTTGTTTGCTCGCTCCCCAACCTGAGAACTCCCTTCTCTCACCTTGCTGATTTCCCTGTTCTTTCGGTTTAGACTGGATACTAAGTACCTGCCACAATGCCAGTTGTTTTAAACAAACCAATTTCTCTATTTTTGGCTCTGAGAATTAACAAAAATATTTCTCAGAAGAAAATCCAGAATCTAGATGTATGATTAAATGAACCTAATGTATGCTAAATTATTAATCTGCTGTCTTGTGAAAACACTGCACACTGGGCATCATTAGACTTTTCATCTAAATGTCCATTTTATTTGAAATCCAATGAAGGAAAATTAAGCAATAATGAGTATTTATATTTAAGCTCTGGTCGATGATCTCCTTTAAACATCATTAAAAAAAAAAAAAAAGCTGTATTTGGAGTTAGAATTCCTAGTTTAAGGTCCAGAGTTGCCTCTAACTGTGTAACAGATCAGTCACTTAACGTTTCTAAGCATCTGCATTGTTTTGTCTCTAAAATAAGGAGGATGTTACCTACTTCTCTAAAATCAGTTCTTCTATTCCCTCACTGGTAGAACTGTTCTGAGTAATAAATATACCCAATCCCTTTTCACCTTATAATTTTCCAAGGCTGGGCTTTTTTCTATTCAGTAAGCTTCAAGACCCTCAAGTATTTCCCGGACACAGCTAAATCGCCCCACTCCGTGGAAGAGCATACTTGAAGATTTAAGCAAACTCTTTGGCACTGCATATTAAAATTTTTTATATAGGATATGTATTGCTATTTTTTTTAATTTGGGGTTTTCTTTTGCATGGCTTTTATTATATTTTTTTCCTCATTTGAACAAGATAAAATAAAAAGTAAAATTCACACATTCCTAGCCTCCAAACCTTTCTCCCGGAGATGACCACTATTAACAGTGTGCTCTGTATTTTAAGAATTTATTGATGCTTATTGTATGAGTTTGGGTAGGCTAATTACTGTAAGAAACAGACAAAAATAAAAATGTGTAAACCCTAAGGTAACAAGTTTATTTCTTCTTTATGAGACAGTACTGGGTAGATGAGCAGGTGGGCAGGGTAGCCTTCCTCCATGCAGTCACTCGGGGACCCAGGCTCCTGATCCAGAGGCACTGGGATCTTCAGCTCTTGTTCAAACTCACCCTGCAGGACATCTCTATTCCAACCCACTGTGCTGCAATTACATATAGGTTTTCTTTCTCTCGGTGTCCCCAGCTTCCTGGCAGCATATCTGGCCTCCTGCACACTTGAGCCATAATTGCTTTACTCAAAATTGTGTGATTCAAATTCACCCTCCCAGGCATTCTTGGAACTCATTCCAGTTTGGACTCCTATTTTCTCCTTCTTATCAGAGGTTTCTGGTACTTACCTCCACATCTCCATTGCTTTTTTTGCAACAGCTATACCAGCTGCATTCAATTCTGACATCGGTCTCCATTTAGCTAAACTACTGGCAGTCCATGCCCCACTCCCCTTCTTTGTTTCAGCAGAGATTTTATTTTTCTAGATTTATCGAGATATAATTGACATATAACATTGTGTAAGTTTAAGGTATGCAATGTGTTGATTTAGTATACTCATATACTGCAAAATGATTCCCACCATTGCATGAGCTAACACCTCTGTCCTGTTACATAATTATCATTTCTTTTTTGTGGTGAGAATATTTAACATCTCTTGTAGCAACTTTCAGTGATATAGTACAGTATTATTAGCTGTAATCACCATGCTGTACATTAGATTCTCAGAATTTGCTAATCTTATAACTGGAAGCTTGTACACTTTAACCAATATCTCCCCAGTCCCTGGTAACCACCACTCTACTCTCTGTTTCTCTGAGTTTGGCACTTTTAGATTCCACGTGTAAATGATTTCATACAGTATTTATCTTTCTCTCAGCAGAGATATTTTAAAAGTCATTTGCGAACAAGTGTTAACCACTTACCTCAGAAGGTGGCTTCTTTTGCCTGGTGTTTTCTTGCGGTATCTCTTGTCCATCTTTCCCCTTTATTTCACTCATACATTTTCCCTGAAAAATCCATCTCCTCTTTTGTGTCTCCCTCTCTCTGCCTGTAGCCTCTCTCACCTCTTTCTTCTCTTACAGCTGCCATGTTGGTTGCCAGCCTCATTTAATCAGCTGTAACCAACAGCTGTGGTTCATTTCCCTTTCATTCTCTATCCCTAAAGTTGATTCAGCCAGGCTACACTCTTTTATTGTGACATTCTCTTGGGCTGCTCACTCAAGTTCACTTGTTCAACAATAGTCACTCATGGAGCAATTTTCCAGAATGCAAACCACACTCAGTTGTCAAACTCTTCTAACTAGTTTACGTTTGATTGACAGACGTTTGAACCGTCCTCTCCAAATGGAAAGCTCTGGCAAGGAGCTTACTGCTCACCACACAGAGCATCTCAACAGAGTCTGATAGTCTTAGAGGGGCAAGGTGGGATTGCTATGAGAGTGTGCAGTGGGGTAGCCAATGGTCCTAGTTTACCCAGGATAGAGGGAGTTTCAGGGATGCAGGGCTTTTAGTTTCAAGCCAGAGCAAAATTTAAACCATCTAGTTTAAAGTGGGTCTTTCTATGCAGGGTCTTGGTTGGATAAAGATCGTGATACGATAGTTTAGGATTAGTGGACACAACAAGGCAAAGATTTTGAAGTGAGGGTTTCTAAGAGTTTTGGGATATAAACTGTTGAAGCATTGATGGGTCTTTCAAGAAGTTCCCAAAATTAATAATAAAGTTATTTTCCTGGGCAAAAGTTATGCTAATGAAGACAAGGGACCAGGAAGGTTATGCTAATAATAGACAGTAAGCTGAGGTGGGGGAAGTGGGAGATGGTTTCTGTTCTCAGAGTTAATGCCACTCTCTCTTTTCCAAGGTCTGTTTCATATCCACTGTCCTTTGTCAAATGCAAAACCTAGTGGGGGTTTTTTGTTCGTTTGGTTTATGTTTTTAAATTTTTGCAAACATTGCATTACCTCCAACCCCAAGTCTCCAATGTCTGTTCCAGCTTTCATTCCACTCAGGAGAATAACAATAATAAAACTATCACCTATAGAGCCCTCACCATAAACTAAGACACATATCAAACCCCTTATAGACATTATTTGACCCTCATAAGAGTCTTATGAAAGAGGCACTATTATTGTCCCTATTTTACAGATGAGGAAACTATGGCTCAAAGAGGTCAAGTAACTTGTCCAAGGTCATGTAGCCAGAAGTGGCAGAGCCAAGATTTGATCTCAGGTCCATCCAACTCTTCAGTAATAAAAGGGAGCAAATTACTGATATATGCTACACGTGGATGAACTTCACACTCTGTTAAGTGAAAGAAGCCAGACGCACGAGACTACATATTTCTGATTCCATTTATATGAACTGTCCACATAAGGCAAATTTAGAGGTAGAAAGGAGATCAGTGGTTCCTAGGCAAGAGGCAGGGCGTGGGAATTAATTGCAAATGTACATATGATTATTTTTTGTCATTAATAGAAATGTTCTAAAACTGGATTGTGATGATAATTGATTTTACAATTCTGTAAGTTTACTAAACATCATCTAATTGTATCTAATCACAACGCATGAAGTTAATGGAAATTCTCATTCAGTAAAACTGTTTAAAAAATCCCAGAGGCTAGATTCTAAGTCTTCTAGTTGTTACCAGCAACCCCTAGGTGCAGGTTCCTTTAGGAATCAAGCCTTAGGTGCCATTCAGAAGGGGATAGACTATAAGTCTTACTAAGTTTTCCTACCCTCTTCACATAAGCCTTTAAACTCTTTTAACCAATCTACACATGTTGAATACATTTAATTCTACCAATGAGAGTCCATTTCTAAGCAGGCACTAATTTCATTAATGCTAACTGTGCATTTTGATTAGCATGTATATAAACCTAAGTAGATAAGTTATAGACATATATGATATTATCACATGTGCTCAAGAGCTTTCAGTTACTGATATAGAAAAATAAACCCAAGTGAACTCTTAATACTCACTACCTCTACTGCCTCTGAAATAGCAATTGACAGAGGAGCCTCACTGACCTTATTTTCTTGCTGTAATCCATTATATAATCCACTCAGACCCCCACTCCAGGGCCAGGTTACTTGCTGTTGTTAATAAAGATATCTTCCCTCAACAAACCATTGGAGAGATTTTTCTTTTCTATTCAAATCTAAAAGGAAAAAAGACTCGGAGACTGTAGATGAGAAAGGTCACCCCAAAATTTAAATGGATTGAAACTAAGCCAGTGATGAGAGCTGAACAGTCATTGTGTCCCTGAAAGGAGCCAAAAAGTAGCTTGTGGGCTTCCCTGGTGGTGCAGTGGTTGGGAGTCCACCTGCCGATGCAGGGGACACGGGTTCGTGCCCTGGTCCGGGAAGATCCCACATGCCATGGAGCGGCTGGGCCTGTGGGCCATGGCTGCTGAGCCTGTGCGTCCGGAGCCTGTGCTCCTCAATGGGAGAGGCCACAACAGTGAGAGGCCCGCGTACAGCAAAAAAAAAAAAAAGTAGCTTGTTGTGGATGGGACTGGCTCCTGGGAGAAGTCCTTGGGGCACCATGTAAATGTGTATTCCTCTCAGGAACATTTGCTAAACCTGATTTATGTTGTTTTATCTTTCATAAGAACAGAAAGGGATATATTACAGTGAATATGTTTCCTGTACTTTTACAGAGAGATTCGGAATACCAGAAGCTTAACTTACATAGACCGCAGCGCCCTGAAAGAGCTCCCCCTTCTAAAGTTCCTGTAAGTATTAACTCCTGTCCCTTCCTACCTTTTTTTTTTTTTTTAAGAGAATTATAATGTAGGAATATCCCTAGGATGATGTGGGCCATTTTAGTGGTGTGTGGCCTGGAGCAATCACATCCTGTGACTTACTCCCCACCTTTTCCCATGAGGCAAGGTAACAGGTGAAATGATACACATTTTAAAAACCTATTCAAAAGTCAACACATAATGCTGGGACGAGAGACCTGCCCCAAGAGACATGAGGGAGAAAATGCCATCATGTATATATGGTCTTTAAATGAATATAACAAAACAAAACAAAAACCTCTGAAAGCCCACTGGTCAATTTTGTTAGGAAATGGGTATCACAATATTAGAGTGACTGTTACACAAAAACAAACAGAAAACAAAAACGGGTAAAACCTCATCTCTTAGAGCTAGGGGGACAAAAATGGAAGGGACAGCACTTACTGCTTTGCTTTGGTGACACCTTGTGAGCTAACTGTAACCTCAATGAGAGCAGGGACCACAACATTTTTGTTCTTTGTTGTATCTTTACTGCTTAGCGCCTACTGCCTAGGTACTCAAGGAAGTGTGTTCAGTGGATGTGTGTGTATGGCCTCAGGTCTTCTGGGTACCTTCCTTTCTTCCCTTCTTTCTTGCTCACATGCGTTGTAAAAAATTAGAACACAAAAACGTTATGAAGAAAAAAAGTCAACCTTAATCCCAATACTCAGAAATAATCACTATTAACATATTAGTTCATTTCCATCTAGGGATTTTAAATAAAAGTATATATCCAAATGTATTTTATGAAATTAGTCTTTAAGGATGAATAGAGTTTATCCAGGAAAAGGAGGGGGAGGGGTAGAAGAGAAATACAAGTGGATGGGATAGCATGATAAAGATACAAAGGTGTGGAACCACATGCCTTGTTTGGGGAATGAAAAATAGTTCAGTATTGAAGAGGTAGGAGTGGGAGATGCCAGGAGAACAGAAGAGGATATGGATGAGAAATGTGGCTGAAAGGGTATCTGGCGAGTAATAAAAACTTATAGCACAAGGCAATTGCTCCTGTGTGGACTTTGAGTTCCAATCCATCAGTAACTCTTTGATATGATGGTCCCCTGCTATGTGCAGGGCTCAGTGGGGAACATGTAGGATAAAAAAACATTGTCCTTGCCTTCAAGAAACTTACAATCTAGTTAAAGAAGATATTATATATGGGATTGAAAAGTTCCTCCCCTAGGAGAACAATGGTAAGTGACAAATAAGAGGTACATACATTATCTGGGGGTACAGGTAATTAGAGGAGACATCCAGAAGGAGATGGACTTGTTCAGGGTTTTAAAGAATAGACAGGTCTTGGTCCAAGTCCCTAATATGGCATTTCCAGCCCTTTTTGATATGGTCCCCACTTAACTCTGGGTCTCCCCACCATACTCTTCCACATGAACAGCTGTTGCAATTGAACTAGATTTTTTTACTGTTCTCCAAATATACCTCATGGAATCTTACATCTCTCCTTTGTTATTTAGAATGTCCCATTTGCTTTTTTGAGAACTCAGGCTCTTCTTCCTCTTCAAATCATATGTCTTCCCTTCTAAAAGGAGTCAGGTCAGAATTTGCCTTAGATGGTACAGCAATGGGACTAGAATTTTCTCTACTGGAAGACTTTCTTTAAAGATCTACTGGTAGTTACAAGTTCTCACCACGTCATACCGAAGCTCTCAAAAAAATCACTAAATCCACTACCTATGTTCTAGTAGCTGCAAGAAATGTGAAACCAACTAAGTCTGAGAGGCATCCAGAGTTTGAGAGTTTTTGGATTCATGCTGTCAATGCACGTTTTAATCTTGACATTTTGCCCTGATGACACAGCTTTGGAGAGTGAAGATATTGTCTTTGACTGATTTCCTCCCTTATCTGGACATAGTTTTATGGTACTGCTGCCATGGTATTCTCAAGTGACTGCCATGGGAATACCATTCTTGGTAAAATAATGAACACAATATAATGTAGAGTTTGAAAGAAGAAGCCTGGCTTGGAGTTGGGTAATTATATTATCTTCCTGTCCCATCCTCTCCTTATTCTACCCTCCCTTCCCCCCAACACACACATAATGTCCTCCAGTTAAAACAAGGAAATCACACACACACACACACACACACACACACATGGAAAGAAATCTGAATTCCTATTTCTAGGAATCCCACTTGGTTCAAACAATCCCCAGATGCTTCTAAACAGAAAAGATGTATTGACACTGGTGGACTGGGTTAGATTCTTGATTCTTCAGGGAGCATCATTTCATCCAAGGATTAGAACTTGCCATGGTCTCTCAGATAATTAATGAAGGACTTAGGATTTGATCCTAGTCTGACTTCAGAGCACATACTTTTAGCTATTACATTATTCTACTTCTTATGTGTTGATTTTCTTACCTTATTTCTGTTCTTTTGTTCTTCTTTTTCATGTACTTTAGTGGCATTTTCAACACTGGACTTAGAGTATTCCCAGACCTGACCAAAGTTTATTCCACTGATGTATTCTTCATACTGTAAGTGTGCACATATGCAATATTTGGCAATATTTTACTTGCCACTGACAAGAACTGGGCTGCAGCCAGAGGGGTTGGTTGAAACCAAGTGAAGCAGTTCTTTCAAGGAGGAAGCAGTGATCAGCTGTGACAAATGCACTGATGGATGAAGTAAGGCAAGGACTGAGAAATGGCCATTGGGTTTAGTAACACGGGGCATCAGTGATTCTGAAGAGAACGCTTCCAGTGGGGTTCTGCGGGTGGAGAAGTCTGGTTGGAGTGGGCTCAAGAAAGAACCAGAAGGGGGAATTAGAGAGAGTGACCATAACAAACTCTTTAGGGAAGTTTTACTACAAAAAAGAAGCAGAAAATGCCTCAGTAGTTGGAGCATATTGAATACGGAGAAAAGGGTTTTTTGTTTTTTTATTTTTAATGGGAGAAACTATGGCATATTTTTGCTGCTGGGATTGTTTGAATAGAAGGAATTTGATGATAATGATGATACTCTATTTTTCACATAGTTTTTCACAGCTTTTCACTCTCCCATGTGTTATCATATTTGCTCCTCTCGACCACCTTACGAGATATAAAAAGAAGTAACAGTTTTTCCACTAAACAAATGAGGAAACGGAGGAATAGAAAACCTAAGGGATTTTGTCTGAGGAGAGTCCCAAGGAGCAGTTGTGAGTGGTGCTCAAACTACTTCCTGTGACTTCTGATTGGGGCCATGGTGCTCTTTTCCAAAACCTATGACACAGTTAAGTATCTTACTAGTTGTTTAGAAGTGAAAGGACATATGCAGAGAGAATTACAGACTGAGTTTGAACTACAGAATCAGCAAAATGTAGAATGATAGGATCCAAACTCTTGGGATTCTGTTAGAAAAAATGCCCATGCTTCTTTGCTGCAGAAGAGCTCAGTTCATAATACAGGCCGTCTTCCAGCAACTAGACTGGCATAGAAATGTTCTCTAGGAGTATATGTCTTGCAAGTGGAGGGCACTTCAGTAATACTCATGAAATGAAATCAACTGATCCCATTCTAGCAACCCTTTTTAGGGGTTCCACACGCTGAGAAAATGAGTTGCTCTGGACAAAGTATTAGTCAGCGATTCATGAGAAATCTCTGAGACCCACCTGCTCCCCTTGCACATGAGGATTGTCAGGAACCTCAGCCCACACCCAGAGCTTACTTGCTCACTGCACATGTGGGGCTCTGAGTATATGTCCACCTAGGACAGCTCTCACCACCTCACCGGACCTCTGAGCCACCAACAGCTAAGAAGTGTCAATGACACCTAAAAAGAAATAAGATAAAACTGAATTGTGTCAGGTTATTTATTTAAGGGCATATGTGCAGCAAGAGCCCAGCTCCAGAAGGAAAGCATTTTTTTTTTAATTTATTTTTGGCTGCATTGGGTCTTTGTTGCTGCACACAGGCTCTCTAGTTGTGGCGAGCAGGGGCTACTCTTCATTGCGGTGCGCGGGCTTCTCAGTGCGGTCGCTTCTCTGGTTGCGGAGCATGGGCTCTAGGCATGTGGGCTTCAGTAGTTGTGGCTCACGGGCTCTAGAGCGCAGGCTCAGCAGTTGTGGCGCACGGGCTTAGTTGCTCCACGGCATATGGGATCTTCCCAGACCAGGGCTTGAACCCGTGTCCCCTGCAACGGCAGGCGGATTCTTAACCACTGAGACACCAGGGAAGCCCAGAAAGCACTTTTTTCACCAGGTGTTTTTGTTCCTCTCCTGCAGTGAAATTACAGACAACCCCTACATGACTTCGATCCCTGCAAATGCTTTTCAGGGCCTGTGCAATGAAACCTTGACACTGTGAGTACTGCCAGTTCCACTCCTGCCAACAATGAAATATTTATTTGGGCCACTGTACTATTTCCACAGGCCATCCAAGAACCGTACTACCATATAGTATGTGCTCTATGGTCTACCGAGGGTTTCACATAGTTAAATAAGAGTAGTGACTCATGGTGTGGTGCTCTACAGGTGACGAAGTGGTTTAGGTAACAAGACGAGAGAGTAGTCCCTTACAGAAGGGGTCAGTGCACCATTCAGATTTTACAGACCACATGGCCTTTGTGGCAACTGTTCAACTCTGCTATTTCAGGGCAAAAGCAGCCATCCACAATATAGAAACTAATGAGCATAGCTATGTTCCAACAAAATTTTATTTACAAAAACAGCCAGTGGGCCAGATTTGGCCTGCAGACCTTATAATAGTCTGGGTTCTAGTATCCCCATTGAACAGAGGAAGAACCTGGGGTTAAAGCAAATTTAAGTGACTTTCCCAAGGTCACTGAGCTAGAAAATGGTGATGCTAGGGGCTTTTCATACTCTGCACTCATACTTCAACTGTGTCGTCACAAGCTATTATTAAGTTCCTATGAAGGGATATTGAATAGAAAACATAGTTCTGCTCTACATCATCATTTTGCCAGAGTTTGAATGGGTTCTGCTCTTTAGTTGTTCAAAAGAAATGCTAGATCAGGGAAATTCACAAAATGTTCTAATGAAGGAGATCTAATAGAGGTACAAAAGATGAGTTAATTCTCCAAGCTGGTAAAAATTCCCCTCTCTCATCGAATTAGCTACAAAGTAGAGTTGGGACTACATCCAAAGGATCCCGTCTCTCTAGTTTCAGTACCACTGCCCAGGTTCAGGCCTGGTGGGGGTTTTGCCCAGATTGTCACCCAGCTCCCTTTCTCCAGTCACACTACAGTCCAAGGGTTCTTCGTCGTATGCAAACCTGATTGAATTATGCCCCAGCAAAATTGATCCAGGCCTCCACACGACCCTTTGAAGAGGCAGTTTCCAAGCGTTCCAAGTCAAGCAGTCTTGACCCTGTGAAGGTATCTCAACCTCTGGGACTCTATCCACAGTGGAGCATTTCAATTCATCCTTCTCGAAAAATGGGGAGAGCTCTCTTGATAAGACAAGAGACTCCTCAGCCACCATTTCATTTGACAGCACAGCAAAGACTGGGGTTTAGCCTGCTCAGTCCCCAAACCTCAAGGCCATTTACCTCTTCCGTAAAGCCTTCCATTGTGCCCACTCATTGTATATAAACACCAGTCTCAATTTCTTTGCAGAATGTTACCTCCACATTTTGACATCCTTTTCTAGGGACCCGTATCCCAAGCAGCCCTCTCAAGTGAAAGCTGCTGTTTGTCTCACACCCAGCATGGGGCCCAGTAGGCATTTGATAAACCTCTGAATGAGGGAACCTTAACTTTCCTGAAACCTAGAGGTGGGGATGGCATAGCTTGTCCATTATCTTTTCAGATGATTATTTCTACATACCTGCAAAAGTCCTGGCTTCTTTAAAGCTCATGCTCAAAAAACTATAAACGTGAAAGGGTATGTGTCCAACAGCAAACTTTGTACCCATATTCCTGGTAGGATAGAGTTTCAATCAAAGTTTGCAACCCTTTGTTCTTTCTTTCCTACTATGTTTTTCTTTCTTCACTATTTTCCCTTTCTGAGACCTACTTGTCCAATAAGAGTTTTATTTAATCTTTGAAATGTAATTCCAACAAAGAACATTTTTATTGTCCAGGCCTCTCAGCAAAGTTTGGGAAAATAGAAATGCCAAATGTACAATTCTCACATCTTCATTAATGAACTCTAGTTCAGAAAAAATTAACTTACCTATAGAGCTTTCTCAGCCACTGTGCTTAGCGTCCCGGTGCATTGCAGTCCTCCCCCAGGACACCTTAGTAGCAGGAAATAAACTCATTGTGTAATTATTTTAAACAAAACAAAAAGCAAACAAGGATTGCCTCTTAGTTCTACATACGATAGTTCTTCTAGTTCTTCTAGTTCTTCACAACTACATACGATAAATCCAAGTTTGCAAGGTATTCATTTTAACGTGGTCGTCTCATAAGTGTCCACACCTTACTTGTTAAATGTATAGCTGTTTTATCCTGCCAGTAACGTTTTGATTAGGTATTATTTTATCATAGTTTTACAGACAACGAAAACTGCGGATAATTGAGGTTGAGAAGTTCTCAGGGTCACCTACTATGAAGTGACAGAGCCAGGTCTAATTCCAAGTTTGGAGTCTCCTGTATGCTTCTCACTGTGTTACCAGAGTTCACAGGAGGCACTGCAGTAGTTTTCAGAGTTCCCCTACAATCGCCACTCACTGTGCCTGATTGTGGACATGGCAGCCTTCTCTTATCCCATGCCAGTAGCCCCCAGGAACCCCCATGCACCCCTGTGTAGACCAGAGTTCCCATGGCTGGAGCTCCTTTTCCAGCAGAAAGGATGTGTCCTTTTGGTGGGTGGGAAGAATTGCTTTTGAGTTCAGAAATCCTGATTCCCGACAGCTGTGCATCAGTGCGGCTTTGGCAAATCGCCTCCATATCTCAATAACCTGACTAGGAAATAGAGGAGATAATGCTTCAGTCCAGCCCTTGGAATCGCTGTATGAATTAATTAGTTGCAGAAACATAGCAACAAGTTAAAACATTAAAACTTCCCCAAAAGGCCATGGTCTATCTATTTTCTTAGATTTGTTTTTGAAGTTCAATTTGATTCAGTCCTCAACCATTTAATTAAGCATTTAATGTATGATACACCCTGAGGATTAAAAATATGACTATAAATGTGAAACAACATTTTAAAGAGAAAAATATAAAACCTATGCATTCAGATGAATAATGTCTTTTAAAGTGCTCATCTTGAGAAACTGCACTTATTCCTCCATTATTGACATTGGGTTAACTATTTCCTGAAACCCCAGTTTTTTGAGTATATGTAAAACATTTTTTTAAAAATCCTTAATGATTGCAAATCTTTGCTCATTAAAGTGAATCTGCTTCTGGGAAACAGCTTAAAGCTCTAGGAGCTAAGTCTGGAGAATGGGGATTCAAACTGGAAAACACTATTCCATGTCCCAAATAAGACATACTGTAAAGTTTTCTTGTAGGGCCTAAGAACCTTCATGCACATCTCTGGCACTGAAGAAATAAAGAGCAACCCTCAGAGAAGAGCCAGCACTACCTCTTATAGGTCACTGATTTCTCCTCTCTCTGTTGATTATAGGAAACTATACAACAATGGCTTTACTTCAGTCCAAGGACATGCTTTCAATGGGACAAAGCTGGATGCTGTGTAAGTCAAGGGTTGCCATGGAAACCACTATCCTGCCCTACACTCCCTCCCCCAAGAAGGACCATTCAGTGGGTCAGACTTCTGCTAGAGATAGGTTCCACCCGAGCATTCTTCAACCCCAGAGTTAGCATGACCAAGACTTGGGGATGACGTTAAGGAACTTGACAAGAGCCAGCTTTAGTGGACACACATTAACTCCAATTCTAGATCCCAAAGCTTTTATCCTTAATAAAATGGAGAACGAAGGTGTCACCTTCTATTATCTTATAGGTGTGTGTGTGTGTGTGTGTGTGTGTGTGTGTGTAAATGTTCATCTATCATGTACATGAAGTAAAGGGGTGTCTTTAATTAAGTCCAAAGCTATTCAGAAGGTAAGGCTTTTCTTTCGTTTTATCTGACATATTTTCAGGAAAGGTGTCAGTTTATATTTGATTCAGTTAGAAATAGCTGAAAAGCCATATCCAGATTTTGGCTTCTCTGCAAATAAATAATGCCTAGAACAGGATATTGGCAAAAAGATAGTGATTAACATGGGTCTCTGTCTTTGTAGCACCTTTCTATCAGATCTCTGTGGTCCCCAGTGTCCATGCCAGAGCATACTTTGTGTCTAAGAGCTGCTAGACTGGTTCAGCCATACTGGTGTGTGATTTAACCTAATAGCTAATAAATGACAAAGAGCTTTAGTAGAGTCTGCTTTCCACAGTATGGTGAACTAGATAATTTGTTTCTACTACGAAAGAACTAGATGATATATTTTGAAAAAACTTATTTTATGTCATATCCCCAAGAGAGGAAAATGAAACAACTAACAAACCAGTAGCTGAAACCAAAATGGTGGGTGCTTACAGAGGGTGCAGTTCCCTTGGGGGAACAACAACATCAGTGGTGCCAGGAGACTAGACTCAGTGAGAAGTCAGTGAGAAGGTGGAGAAGTGATGTAAACCTGAGACTGCTGGATTAAGCCAGGGAACCTGGATGAGAGCTGGAGTGGGACCACACTAGTAGAACCTCTGGACTCCTGGCAAAAATAAATGCAAACCTCTGCAGAGGAAAGAACCCCAGTGCAGGCCCAGATTTTTAAAATCAATCAAATAGGTGCTTACAGTCAAAAATCACACATAGGAAAGGAAGAAACTACCATGCGTAAGAGTCAGCTGAAGCAACAAACGATAGATTCTTGTTTAATTTGTTTTATGGCAGTTTATTGAGTATTTTTAAACAATTGTATTTTTTCCATTCCAGAAGTTCTATTTGCTTCTTTAAAAGTTTGCCTGCTCATTTTTGTAATTCCATCTTTTTTTTTTTCCCTTTAAACATTTCATACATAGTTGTTTTATATTCTGGAAACGATCATTGCACAATCTTAAGGCCTGTGGTTCTAGATCTGTTGTGCTCTACGGTGCTTCTCAAACTTTATTGAGCATATAAATGATCTGGGGGGTCTTGTTAAAATGCAGAATCTGATTAAGTAGATCTGGGGTGAGCCCCAAGATTCTGCATTTCTAACAAGCTCCCAGGTGATACTGAGGCTGCTGGTCCATTGAGCAACTTGAGCAGGGTGAGTTAAATTACCTGCACAACACAGGTTAATAAGTTCAAAGTCATTATACCTTGACGTGGCTTCCTAAGTTCTGTTTGAAGTGGGGTCTCACTCTTTACCAGGCTTTTGGGTTTCTTAGTAGTCTTTGTTAAGTGAAGATCAGAGTACCTATATCTAGATTGCCTAGGTGTAGGCTCATCTGGGTTGATATTAGTCATTTGTTTAAATACATAATTATAGGGGAAGTCTGAAAAGACTCAACAGAGTAACATGAATACTTATACATCAAATTTATTTACAGTATTGGAGAGACCCTACTTCCATCTTAACTTTATTGTTCAAATCTCACACAATCCTACATTTAATTTTCTTTTCTTTTTTTAGTGTGCAGGATGTTTATTGAGGAGAGCTCCTGGAATCTACCGATATGGAAGGGAGGGTATGAAAGCAAAGCAAGATGGGGTAGCAGGAAAAGTTGGCTAACCTGACAGAGAACTCTGGAGCTAAATACGGCCTAGAGTTTTCCTGTTTCGCTAAAATGGCCAGACAGCTATACTCCCATCTTCTTTGGTCGTTAGATTTAAGCTACCCTAACATAGGTTTCCTTAGGTGAGACCATTCTCTGCAGCTGAGGCAATCCCAGGGACTGATAGCTAAAGCTTTTCTCCTGACAGTAGGCCCAGCAGCTGGATAGACAATTCCTTCCTAGATGGAAGACCCAGGCGTATGAGCTCCATGCCCATCACTGTCATAACTTGAACCTCTTGGATTCAACTTATTTATTTATTAACCTTTTCATTGGAGTATAATTGCTTTAAATGGTGTGTTACCTTCTGCCTTATAACAAAGGGAATCAGTCATACATACACATATATCCCCATATCTCCTCCCTCTTGCGTCTCCCTCCCTCCCACCCTCCCTATTGACCTTGTAAAGTTAAACAAAGTATACAGGTGGACTTCTTGCATCTTTTGATAGAATAATCTGAATTACTAATATCCAGCAGGGGGATACAGTATGCAGAGCTTCTCAAGGAGTTCTTGGTTCCAGGAGCACCTCTCTGGACTGGTGTACCACAGAACACTTTTTGGGGAAAGCTACTTAAGAAGAATCTTTTGATATACTGCCTTGTTCGGAGGCAGGTAAATTTAACAAGGTTTATTCAAGAGGCAGGCTATGGAGAATCTTAAGAGCCAGTAAATTTTCAGATCATCCTGTGGTCTTCTGAAGTTAAACCTATGAAAAGATTATGTAGGAAAACAGTCTCTACCTTCCTACCAACTTTCTCCTTAGACCATATCATGGGCTCTGTGAGAGGCTTGGTTGATGGGAGAGAGTTATTCTGATGAAAACAATGGATTTTAATTCACTGATTCTCTGAATTACATACAGTCTGTTCTAGTCACTACAACTATCCCTTGAAACACAGGAAAGAAATCAACGCACCATTTTCACATACTTTCTTGACATTTTAATGTAAAATTTGGAAGGGTTTAACAAACGTGGGCAATATTTCTTAACTGAGAATCATTTGTTTCTTGATTTTTAGAAGTCTAGATCTGAGATCAGCAAACTTTTTCTGGAAAGGGCCGGATAACAAATATTTTGGGCTTTGTGGGACATAAGATCTCAGTCACAGCTTCTCAACTCTACCATTGTAGTGTGAAAGCAGCCACAAACAATTCATAAACAAATGAGCATGGCCGTATTTCAATAAAATTTTATTTACAAAAATTGGTGACAAGCAGAATGTGACCACATGGTCGTAGTTTGTGGACATCTGGTCTAGATGTAGGTATTCAGTGAGGATGACCATTGTGTGATGAAGTATGTAGTTTATTTCTCCCAAGTCCTTGTAAAGGTTAAATGGCAAACATGGGATAAAGATAAGAAGTATCTGGACAAAAATATTTTAGGGTTTGAAAGTTAAGATCCAATCATAAAATAAAATAAAGATCTTTTTATCCAATCAGTATTTTAAACCTGAACTTAAATCTCTGCTCCTGTTATAAAACAACATTCCATCTGTTCGTTCTACCCTAAGTTTGTGATTCCTGGTTGATGGAAACTAAATTTTTCTTAGCTTTATGCACTCCATTAAAAGGTATCCTATAAATCCAAGGTAAAATCAAGATGATAATCATGATAAAGATGCCTGGAACTAGAGGAAGATAAATAAGGGTTGAGCTGTAGATGGAGAAAACAGAGGTCAGGTTTCCATAGTGATAACAAAATAGTATTCACTTTGTGATTTTAACATGGAGCTGTTGCCTCTATCCTCAATACTAACTGTGATTTAAAACTAATGTAAACACATCGGTATTCTATAATTACCCTAATATTGTTCAAATACTGTACATGGCATGTTAGCAATTTGTTGAATCCTCCAGAAGTATGTTCAAATATTTTAACTTCTAATTTAAACAATTGCTCATCCAAAAGCGTGATTATTCCCCATCATCTGCCTCATGTCAATTTACTGAAATTAGCAGATTTGACCTCACTTAGACCTATTTTTTTAGTGTAACTGAAGAACACGGTTGCAGCCAAGTTGGACAAATTCCACATTGAGAACAAGCACTGATGCCTCAGCAGCAGTTGGGTAATTAAAAGTTCATGAAAATTATGGCAGATGCTCGAAAGTACACGGTCCTGTGATTTCATATGGAACCAAGCACACTGTCATCACTCAGATGTGGAATTAATAATAATACAAGCATCCCTTGCTCAACAGAAGTTGAACTGCTCTCAGTCACAAGTTAAGTCACACATTCATTCTTTGGAACTTCTTTTCCACCCTCTCCACACAATCTGGCATGGAGATATATCGCTTATCTCAGAAAATTTAATTCTCTGTATTGTATTTTGTATTGTCAAATTCTAGCAACAAGCTACCATCTGACAGTAAACATTTGGGCAGAAAAAAATACCATTTTGATGTGCTAAGAGCATACTGAAACACTAATCGTTATGAACAGAGAAGTCAACACAATTCATGTACTAATTAGCATCACACATTAGCTTATTACAAGCAAAACACTGCAGCTTGGAGCACTGGGAAAAGATGACGATAGAGAAGATTATAGGATTAAGCAGGCTATTCTTTCTAATGGAGTAAGTATTTGAACAGCTTGTAGGATATGCTCCAAGGCTGGCTTTTACCTCTGCCTGTTGAAGCCTTGAGCATTTTCTCACCTTTTACTGTTTACAGGCAGGTATCCTGATTTCAGCTACTAAAAGGATTTTTATGGAACAGTGAGGGCTGGGCAGCGATTCTCTTTAATTTTCCAAATAACTGATGGTATGAGAGCGAAATACAGTTCCCACAGAAGTATTCCCATGAGAGTCTCACAGTATAAACAGGTGCCCGCCCATTTACCCTAAGGGGATTGTGGAAATGCAGGCTCAAATTCTATCTTGGAGCTGAAACGTATCCTAAAACTCCCGAGAGAGCAAAGTTCAGCAGCAACCACAACTCTCCTTACCACAGTGTCATACTCCTCCCTCTGACACGTCCTCACTTAAACATAATACAGAGGGTGCCTTGAGCTAGGAGTTACCCAGCAACTGGACTTTCATTTAGTCATCCAGCATGTTTTCACTGAATGGCTGTTGTGTGCCAAGTGTGAGTCCAATGGGGAAGGATGTGAGCTATGTCTATCATACTGAGTTCATCAACTGGATAGTCTTCCCCAGCTCATTCCTGACCATCTTCATTTTTCTGACCACACTGTTCTTCCTTAACTGTGAGATACACGGCACTTAAATCAGGGCAGGACTTCTTAACTCCCCTCTCCCTACACCCCCCAACCCACCACATGAAAAATCTGACATATCTTTTCTCGGAAGAACTTCATTTCTTCCAAGAGGTTCTCAAAGAGGCATACATACTCCGAAGAGTGAAAAGTCATTGAATACTTACATGTAGCAGTGTCTATCCTATTTTTAAAGGAGATACCCGTCCTTTGCTCATAAGCCCTTCCCAGTATTTGTACTTAGAAAGACTTTCAAGAAGTCTTTCCTTTCACCGCAGACTCCGAGACTTTCTACTCTTCTTTTGTTTACATTCATCTTGTCCTTGGAAGAGACAGTTTAGATGATCACACACACATACTCTCCCAATAAAATAATCATTGTCTGGAGTAGGTTACCCATGTAGTCTACCAAGATTTGTGATTGACTTACCCAAGTTGGCTTACAGAATGTGGATTCCAGAGGAATCAGGATAAGTCCGGGTCAAGGAATCAATTTAACTAACCTGACATTCCCAGTAAACATTATGTGATAAATGAGGCTGATGGAAGCACAATCTTCTTGGATATTAAGGCTTCTGCAGATATATTTCCCCATCCCCATCCCCTCCGAAGGGGAAGGTAGGATCAGCAATCTGAACCCAAGGTTAAAGCTTCATGGCATTATCATAATTTGTGATAATAAGACAGCCCTCCAAACCGCTAAACAGCAGAATGATGGTTTCATTTTTAAGCACCTAATTATTTCTAAGAGATGAAGTGCCCAAACAACCCTCTTGGTTTTGAAGAATGCAGCCTCCCTCAAGACTCCAGTTCATCTCCGTTCAAGTTGGCTGCACCCTCTCTCCATCCTCCTTCTCCCCTTCTGGACTCTGGCTGGCTTTCCCAGTTTAAAGTCTTCTGCAGCATTTCTGGTAAACTCTAACGCTTATCAACCAGACTCCTTATCCTTGGGGGCGTATTGAATATCAGATGAGAACACTGCAGAATTGTACAAGCAATTATTTAGTTTTACAATCATTTCTAATGATTAGAGCAAGCCGATTTTCACTTGCGGCAGTCAGAGATGAAGAGGAAAAACTGAGATGAGCTCACCAGTCCTTACTTGATTTTCAGCAGTCTGGGAAAAGAATGTGATCTGCAAGTTGCATGGTCCGGAGAATATAAAAAGAGACACAAGCCAGTGTGGCACTTGAGTTGAGTTAGTTGTCTTTTTACAAAACCATGCTGCTCAAGATCCTCTCTCCAGGTGTTTTGTCTCCAAGGCAGCTCTTGTCTGCTCTGGCTATCACTGATCATGAACTCTGTGGACACAGTGGGTTGAAGGAAACTCCAACAACGATCGAATGAAGCCTATGAGTGAGAGACTTACATGATAGCCATTCATCCAGAAGGCACAGACTTGCTGCTGTTAACATCTCAGTTGCGTCTTTGTACATATATGAGGGTTAATTGATACCCCCGCTCCATTTTTGACTTAACAGCACCCTGGAAGCTTGGTATCCATCCAGCCATTGCCTGAAGAGGCCATGTCTGGACCATACCCTTGTGGCATTTGTAAACAAGTTGCTTGTCACTGATATCAAAAAAGTCAATTGGCCACCACACCCTATGATGAGTCTTCTAGCTTTCATTCCCCATTACTTTTTCCATAAAGTAAAAGTTTAGCATAGCTCACCTCACTATTTTGGAGGAAAAGTGCATTGATTTTTTTATTCAATCATTTACACCTTCCTTCAGTAAATAGTTATAGAGGCACTGAATTTGGCACTGGTGATACAACAATGAGTAAGACAGAGAGCTTAAACTCTGATTTGGGAGACAGACGATGAAAAAGTAAACAAATACACAAGATAATCACAGACTGTGATAATGCCATGAAGGAAACAAAGATTGCAATGAGGAAAACTGATGGTGGCTACTTTAAGTTAGTTCTCAAGCTCGATTTGAGAAAAAGTGTAAAGGATCACAAAATGTATACCAATTTATGAGATGTCATTGTGTGAAGTCGTAGTACTTGTCATTTGGTTAATCCCTCATCCTGCCCAGGAGAGGGAGACTTCTTGGTGTTTGGTACAACTCTTCCTCCAATTGCTCCAGTGAACACCCATCTATGGCTCTGGGGCTGCCCTCTCTTATTCTAAGTTCCATCCTCTACAAAGGACTAGAGAGAGCAGAGCTGCTGGACCAGGAGAGGTTGAGGGCAGACCTCACGGAAGTGCTGTTTGTGCTTTCGCCTTCTGAACAGCAACAGAGGCTACCTCCTCATGGCTCAGCCACAAATAAAGCCACCCTCCCTCTCCTCAATCTCACCAAGAGATGCAGAGAAAGAGAGAGAGAGATGATTAACCAAGGAGAAGTTCTTCTGTGAGGGCTCTGGGGAAAGAATCCTTCTGACACAAAGTCCTCATGTCACACTATTTTTTTTTTTAATTGAAGTATAGTTGATTTGCAATGTTGTGTTAGTTTCAGGTGTGCAGCACTGTGATTCAGTTATACACATATATAGATATAGATATAGTTTTTCAAATTCTTTTCCATTATAGGTTATTACAAGATACTGAATATATTAATAGTTCCATGTGCTATACAGTAGGTCCTTGTTGTTTACCTAGTGTCACACTATTCTTATTAACCATCGCCCTTGAAGATTTTGCATCATGAAGAGCAAACACCATAAACAGAATAATGGAAGCATTATCTGTATCTAAGCAGATCTCCTGAGTCTCCACTGCATTCATTTTGCATCAACAGGTGACCACTCACTGACTCTTAAATTGACTAGTCTATGCAGGGGTCAGTTATTCTAAACATGTGTAAATTGAGATCATTTATAACAAGGAGATTTTATACACACACACACACACACATATATGATGGCTATATATATATATATATATATATACACACATACATAATGCTTTGTTTCTTTTTAGATAACATTGTTCTCTAAAAAAGCTAGGGGGGGAAAAGCCAGTTTCAAAATGCTTGGAAGCTTTTATCCATTTGGAGGTAATTTTACGTTTCAGAATCACTTTGTGACTTAAATTGCTCAAAAATATTTTACACTCAACTGACCAATATATTTTCAAAACGGAAAGATCAGTGTGCCCATCAAGGCCCTTCAGGAAAGGTATACTCTGTAATCTTATCTGTATAACCTGCCCCCCATTCCCCAGATAGGATTGCCACAGAAAATGCTGGCCACCCAATTAAATTTGAAGTTCAGATAAACACCAAATAACCTTTTAGTATATGAATGTTTCAAAAATTACATGGGAAATACTTATACTAAAAAATTATTCATTGTTTATCTTGGCATCCTGTATTTTTACTTGCTAAATCTGGCAATCCTGCCCCAAATAAAAGATGTGAATCTCTGACAGTTCCCATCACCACTCGCCACCTTCACTGAATACCTGATTTAAGCCCAGTCATCAAAAGTAAATGTAAATATTGATCAATGTTGAGAAAAAAAATTTAATTTAGTTGGTATTGAAGAAGATTGAAAAATACAGTCGCCATTGGCCAGGTAAATAGGGAATTAGGCAACTTTTATATCATCTAGACATGCAAACTAGATCATAAACAAGTTCTCTTTCAAAGACTTCTGCCATAATTAATGTGTATAAACCTTGCACAATTGAAACCTAGAATATTTTGAGTGCTTAACCTGGAAGAAGGTAAGGTGTTTTCCAAATTCCTAAGAAACAGGTAATAGCTAAGGAGACCATGCTCTCATTTTATTTTGGTATTTATGTTAATTTGCTTAACCTCACCTAATCCATCCTCTCTCTCACTTTCTCTAGTTACCTGAACAAGAATAAATACCTGACAGCTATTGACAAAGATACATTTGGAGGAGTTTACAGTGGACCAACCTTGCTGTGAGTAAGACATACAAAAGAATATTTGCCTTTTTTTTTTTTTTAATGGAAGGGAGGGGGCCATTAAGAAGAGTAGCTGATGATGTCTGTGGGGAGGGAATGTTGTTGTCTTGGATAAAGGCTTCTGCTAGTACTTTTCTGCCCAGCTGTATAGGTTACTGCTTGGAAGAAAGTCCTTGTTCTTTGAGACTCAGAAGGCTCCAGACTCCACTGTGCCATCCTGATGCCTGATGCCACCTTGGTGTGGACATTCATGAAGGCCCTCTTTTGGAAAAAAAGACATTTTTGAGCAGCTGGTGTTTGCAAAATTCTGAGATATGAGGTCTACAAATAGGCGGAAGGCACTCTAGTTTTTGCTGAGAAATGAATGTGTATTGCATAATGCAATACATTATGGTACTGTACCATATGGGGGTTCATAGCACAAAGAAGGAAGAGTATAAAAAGTTTGATTCATATCTGGGAAAACTTACAATCACTGGAAAAGATGGGATGTAAACAGTTTTTAAAACAACATGGAAAAAAAGTTATTTGTGCATTTCCTCTGATTTATACCTCCACATGTAATCATGATGAAGTTCTGTTGATTCTGTCTCCCGCAAGCCTCTTCTAGTGCCATCTTCTCCATCCCCTTGGTTTTGCCTTAGTTTAGAACTTCATTCTTGAGCATCTAGTACAATCCTTGCCAAAGTGGAACAGAGCCCCCCAGGAGAAGCACAAGACAACCCATCAGAGGCACGAAGGTTCCATACATACATAAGAGGTTCCATTTAAAAATAAGAACAAATTGGGAATTCCCTGGTGGTCCAGTTGTTAGGACTCTGTGCTCTCACTGCTGAGGGCACGGGTTTGATCCCTGGTTGGGGAACTAAGACCCTGCAAGCCACGTGGCATGGCCAAAAAAATTTAAAAAAGAACAAATTAAGTTCTACTAATATTTTACATATAGATGATCACTGTCCCTCAGGTGTCAGGTAGGTAATGATTGCATCCCAAGGGAACAGCTGGTGATCCACAGTCTCGAAGACTTACATCCTCACTCTTTCACTTTTAACAATTTCACTTCACTTTTAGATTGAATACACCCAGTTAAGTGGGTTTATGGCCTTACTTTCTTAACACACAGGCTCCGTATAAGAGGGCAGAGTGACCCTGAAAATCTATTGTACCATACGGGGATTCATTGTTAACTCATGGCAAAGTACTTAAAAGTATTATGCATTTTTCTTTTTATAAAAAGACAAGTGAAAAAAAGTGTATTGACCTTTTCTGTGATTTTTTTTTTTAACCTGGAAGACATTTTTTAAAGACATCTTTAACTGCTCCTTCAAGATAAAGGTGATATTTCACCAATGAATGAGGAAAGTTGTTGCTCTTCTAAAGAAATGTGTGCTTTGGAAAGTCTTTAGAAACAGGTATTTGGAAACTTTTCCATGTTACGTAATTTTCCTGATGAAAATAGTGAATGTCACTTATAAAAATTTTGCTTTTTTAAAATCAGAAATTGAATTTTAACATGTTTTAAAACCTTTCAAATTAAGAGTTGCAATGGGTTTAAAATCCATGTATATAAAATATGAAAATGAAACATCTTTAGACTACTTTGCAAAAACTACTTATTGACAGCTGAGAATATGAATTTCAATAAAAACATGTATTTAATTACTGAATTGGATTGAGAGATGAGAATCTCAATTTAGTAAGTACAGCCAAGCCTGCCCTATTCCATTTGGAACCATCTATCTTTGTGAGGTAACTTTTTCAATTGACAACCATTTAAACCAAAACAAAAATAAACTGACCCAGAAGCAGACCTCTGAATAGCTGTATCAGAAAGTGTTAAACGACAATTTTCATAATTAGTAAAGTATTATTTAATAACATTGATTTCACTTTGGTGAAATATTTTTTTAATATTACTTATTTGTTTTTATCCTATCCTTTTAAATGTACGGTTAGTGTGTTTTGTAATGTATAATATATAACATGGTATTACAGTAATATGTGTATAGAGCTCATAAATATACATATGTTAAAGTACATACTCAGACATTTTTTACTTATAAATACATGACATTGAAAGAATCTGAAGACCAATAGTGTAGACCAGAAACATTCAAAGTGTGGGTCCACTATAAGGTTGGCTCCAGAATGTACTTCAAAGCACAGCTTTCTTCGTGGATAAAGTCTTCCTATGAGAGCAAAGTTGCCCAAACTAAGCAGTGTGCTTAGTAAAGTAGTTGCTTACATTCCAGTACAAGCTTCTTACTTTATCAGGGACTCATAAGAAACAGCCAATGGTTACCACACTTTGAGTAGCACTGGTCTAAATGACAAGTCTCCAGATTTCCCCTGGCCGTCTATCTTTTTTTTTTTTTTTGGCCTTCTATCTTTGACCTTCTCAATTTTACCTTCTCCAAACCTCCTTGTGTTCAAATGCAAATAGGATCTTAAAAACCAATGCTGGTCTCCCATTGCCCTCAGGATAAAGACCTTGGTGTGGCATGCAAAGCCCTGCTATAACCTTCAGCTTTATCTCTCACACCTCTATACACTCCTGACCAATCATCCATCCATATTGAAACTTTCAGCTCCCTTAATATTCCAACCTTCTTATATGGCTATGCTAAACTCTTGCTCTTCCTACTGCTTTGAAAACCCTAGCACAACCTTATCTGTCTGATAAGCAGCTACTACCATTTTGACATTTGAGTAAAGATCTCTCTGAAGTCATTCTTGGCCCTCCTCTCCTTAGGGAAGGATGACCATTTCTTCCCTTATACTCCCCACCTCTATTTATGCATCTCATGGCACCAGTGACATGTTTCTATCTATCTCTCCAGGAGCTCCTAGACGGCAGGGGCTATGTCTGTTTCATTTCTACAGTTCTAGTTCATATTACAGTGCCTGAAACACAGTACTTGCTTAAAAATGTTTGTGAAATTAATACAGTATACTATAAATATTTGAATCACACTTCCATAAATGCTATGGCATTTAAGTAGTAGTCACATTTTAAAGATATTTTAGTACATTGTCCTTATGGGAGAGTGTCCATTTCTACTTCTTTGGAAGCGGTAAATTAAATTACCTATTTGTTTGTGCTGCTTAAAAGTTGTTTTGATAGTTTTGGTAAGTCTCTTTTTTACAAGACTCTCTAACCAAGTTAAGAGCAGATGTGCAACAGCTTGACGATGCCAGTTCTGCTTCCTAGAGGCATGCCAGGTTACAAAAAGTGAACTATATTAAGAGCTAGACCTGGAGTTGATTCTTGGCTCCATCACTAATTGTGAGACCCAAGTCTCAGTTTTCTTATTTGTCAAAAGAGGGTAGCTAAAAGTAGTGAAACTTAAGTAAGAAAATAAATCTGAAGTATTTCATATATGCTTAATAAATGGTCAACATTATCATTACCTTCACTTCTTCCTGACTCTTGACAGCATCACTATTCTTATCTTTTGTAACCTCTCTGATCACTCCCTCCCGATTTCTCTCACTAGAGCTCACTGCCCCAGAATTTCAGTGTGGCTCAGTCCTGGATCTTTCTCCTCTATATCTTCTCCTTTGGTTAAATCATTTGCTCTCTAATATTATGAGAATATGAATAATTTCTAAATTTCAGGTTTCCGACCATAGCTCTTATTTAGTCATCTCACCTGCCTGGAATTCCTCCCTCCTCTCCCTCTCATTCCTACCCATTCCCATCAGTTTGATGAAACTTTTCCTGACCAACCTCTGAAAATGTACAGTCAACATTTACTGAGCACTTGGTAAGCCCAGGACTCTTCATTATGAGCTTTCAATAGGGGAGGGTCACCACTTTGAAGGATGGTCAGGGAAAGCCTCATCAGGAAGGTCACAACTGGGAAAAGATTGGAAGGTCATAAGGGAGCAAGTCATGTGACTATATGAGGGAAGATCATTCTAGGCAAGTGCAAAGACCCCCAGGTGAAAACATACCTGGCGTGTTTGAAGAGTAGCAAGGAGGCTGTTATAGCTCAAGCAGAGCGAACTAATAGACGTATACATTTCATCCAAAAACAGCAGAACACATTCTTTTCAAGTGCACATGGAACATTCTCCAGAATAGATCACATCCTAGGCCAAAAAAGAAGTCTCAATATATTTAAAATTGAAATCACATCAAGCATCTTTTCCAACCACAATGGTATGAGACTAGAAATCAACTACAAGAAAAAAACGGAAAAATCACAAACACGTGGAGGCTAAACAATATGCTACTAAACAAAAAATGGGTCGTTGAAGAAATCAGAGGAAATCAGAAGATACCATGAGACAAATAAAAATGGAAGCACAGTGTCCCCAAATCTATGGGACAGAGCAAAAGCATTTTTAAGAGGGAAGTTTATAGCAATGTAGGCCTACCTTAGGAAACAAGAAAACTCTCAAATAAACAATCTAACATTATACCTAAAAGAAGTAGAAAAGAAGAATAAACAAAACCCAAAGTTAGTAGAAGGAAGGAAATCATAAAGATCAGAGCAGAAATAAATGAAATAGAGACTAAAGAAACAGTAGAAAAGATCAACAAAATTAAGAGCTGGTTCTCGAAAAGATAAACAAAATGGATAGACTTTTAGCCAGACTTACCAAGAAAAAAGAAGAGAAGGCCCAAATCAATTAAATCAGAAATAAAAGAAGAAAAGTTATAGCAACCACAGAAATACAAAAGTGTTTTCCAAACTATCTATCAAAGATGAAGGTAAAATAAAGACATTTTCAGATGTGCAAAACCTCAAAAACTTGATTTCCCTTCACCTTTTCTTGAAGCATAAACAAATAAAGAGAAAAATGAGAATTTTAATGATCAACATTGGACAGAGGCAAATGGAATTCCCAGGATGACCAAAAAGGGAGGTCCTGGAAATCTTGAAACAAGGACATCTACATCAGGGCTGAAGGAGGGCTCCAAGAGAAAGTTCTACAAATAAAAAGGGATTGATAGATTATATGATAGGACTGACTTTATGAAAAACTGA